CAAACTTGTATATATTGAAACTCTGTTATGACGTCCTGCTGAGCTCTAATGCAGGGTTAGTCTCAGAGGTGGCTCCACAGTTTGGGACACTGGGCAGGCTGTCCTCGCCCCACATTAGAGTCTCCTGGAATGCCTCCCATCCCTTGTGGTGGCACTGCTGCAGACCCCTGTGGCCCCCTCATGTGGGCAAAGTGGGTGCCACCACTGCAGGGCATGCCTGCTCATTGACGTGCACAAAGAGGCATGACTGCCAAAGCCACTCACTGACAGCGCTGCAGATGCTGCCACAGCTGCCAGGTAAGAACACTTGCAAACAGGTGAGCAACAGGGAGGGGAAACTGGCAGCTGCAGGAACACCAATAGGGGCTCAAGCCCAGGCAAAAAGCCAGCACCAGCAAATGCCCCACTATGTTTGGTGCTTATGCCAGACCTAATTTGCTCACATTTTATGGTGGGGGGTTGCACACGGTGGCAAGCTTGTGGAGAACATCTGAAATAGCCTTAATGTAGTAGCCTGAGTCTGATGGCCAAGCATGGAAATAGCTGGTTATGTGGGATACTGCGACCTTTTGGAATATTGTCCCATGACTGGCAGACATTGCTGGTAGCTGTTCAGTTATTATTGGTGTGGAAACTCCCAGTATCAAGGGGTGACAAGCTCCATTGCTATTGCACACAGCAGCTAATATGCAGATGGTACTACAAATCCACACTTCTGTGATCTAGTGCTGTGTTGAATCCCACTGGACTTTCACAATCTCTTTGCTTTCCTGCAAAGGAGACAGTGGTTTTTCTGCTTCCTTTGCAGAGACAGTGAGAATTTCAAAGGCATTCCAGAGTGTGCCATGTGATGAGGTGGCTGTGGTATCTATACATGTGGCATGCTCTTTCTGTTTCAACGTAGGTCCCATTCTCCTGTGTTCTGCAGTCTCCCTAGCCCTTTGAGCTTTCTCAAAATCTGCTTAGCTGTGATTGCAAGCTGAGTTTGGTTCACCATGACTGTCAAGCAACCTCTGTTGCATAAACAGGACTCACATTTAATCTGGCACCCTTCCTACTGCTCTGGAGGCGACTGTTGGAGGTGGGGTGGGGGTGCAATGCTTGGTCCAGAATCAAGCACTAGATGGGAAAATTAGCTGGGTAGTGCTGTGGAAAGCAATAGGACTACTCATGCTTGTGTGTGCACCCAAGGGAGGCCCCTCAAGCATGTGCAGGAGGGGGGCAAATCAGCAGGCAGTGGTGCCACTCGGTGGATTCTCTACTCACGCCCCGTTCTGGCTCCCACTTGTGAAAGAGGCTTCCCTAAGGTGCACATGCAGGGAGGCAGTGCAGAACATGAACACCTGTGACAGCCACGCAAAACAGAAGCTGTCAGTGGTGTCGCCTAGCTAGCCACTTGGCAAGAGCAGCAAGGGGCCACTTTTGCCAAGTGGCTCTTTGGTTCAGGTCTCTGTACCAAGTGTTCAGATGATGCAACAAGCCATCAAATGGAGAAACCATACAATAGACTGCTTGCATTTGTGACTTACTAAGCACATCACACTGAAATATCATGATAGGGTTCAGATAACAAACAGACCCGTAATGGGACCTCCCCACCATGACTGTTTTGCTTCCTCTAATTCTGTGCATTTAACAACAGCTCAATGCATTAAAATTAACATGTTAAGGTCCTGAATTTTGCCTGCAAGGCCTCTGTTATAGGATGAAGAACAAATAAATAAATAAAGTTGGCAACCCTAAATTGACAAATCTGATGTGGTAGAGGATAAACCTCATACCTGCTCCTCTATAGTCTCATCTTCACTAATAGGAGCTTCCTTGGTCTCTGTGCGTACATGTAACATATCCCTACAAGAACTCCCTTTCACCTTCACCCATCATAATGACGGGCGTTGCTCTAGTTATATATTAACTGCTGTCAACTGTATAAAGCAGATAAGCAGCCATTTTAATTATCCATTCTAATAACTTCCTCCAACTGTCAATATAAAATACTTTTAACCTAGCCCAGGATGTTGTAGGCAGTAATGTGGTTAAATGGTAGTTAAAACAGCAGACATTCCTGAATGTACATGCGGCACACCAAATCATATAACTGAAGGGAGACACAAGGCCAACATGCACCTCATACAATTACTTGCCCCAAACCTTACCTTCTTGTCATTTCTCCCTTCTCCAACAATCCCTGCCTTTTTCTTGCAAAGATTCAGGGTTGCAGCAGTCAGTATTTACTGCTGCAAGCAAAACAAGCAAGATTTACTGTTGCTCCTCTTTTTGTCTTAGCTGTCACAGGACAGAATAAAATGAAATAAAATGTGTGCTTTTTCATAGCTAGGTAAACACTTCTGAGCTCTCAGATGCACACTGCTATGATCCATAGAGGCTTACCTATTTGTCTGAGGAACAAAGAAGAAAGGTACTGCTAGCAGGTAAGAGCATGTATCATGGTTAGGGAGCAGCCCTTTCAGGTCAGAGTATATAGTCAGATCCCATCAGCACCAGCCAGCAAGGATAATTTTCATTGATTGTGGGACTTGAAATTTGTTCAATAATATCCGGAATGCCACAATTTCCCAAGTCTTGGTATATGGTTCACATATGAACCTACATTTTTTTTTTTTTTTAGAAATAAACTACTCTCTTTTTAATGGAGTAACAATGTCCCAGAACAGTTGAAATTCATAAAATATCAGATCACTTCCTTGTTTCAGAGGCTAAAGGTCATTTCCCATATTACAAAAGATTTCCATTGGACCTACACCAGTGGTCCTCAGTGGCATATTTGCATACAAAATTAGTGAGTACAGAACAAGATCCAGTCATAGTGTTCCAGTGGCAAATATCTCCACTGTGTCAGGTTATACTTTCAGCTGCCATGACCATGAGGAGAGCTGCTGAAAAGCTGCCTGCTTTCATCTGTGGAGGGAACAGATAACCAACTATGGTTCAGTATTGGAAAACATCTGCAGAGACAACCAGGGAATATTGTATGAAGCCTCTGAGAACAAGTCCTTAAGTAATTCAGAATGCCATGGGGAAAATACATCTGCCACAAGCTCCATATATAACAAACTTTATTGGAAACAATCTCTTTTGGAAATTCTGATCCGGCAATGTCTCCTACAAGATCACTAAATGGAAATGTGAGTCAGTCTCTGGGTGGGGATTCATCTTCACAGAACATGTGTTTTGGGGCATCAGTTTATAATGCAACCAATTCAGAGTTTTTGGTCATTTCTTGCACAAGCTTACTTTAAGGTAGCTTTTCTGCTAAAAGAGCATTTCATGATCCCAATACCATTGCTCTGCAGGCAAAGCAAAGACTCCTGAAGGGAGCTAAAACTTACTAGTTTCAGGGCACAATGTAACCAGTCTTGCCTTGAAACTTCAGAAGAATGTTGTAGAAATGGCCACAGAGCTTCTTCAGATTGTCTTGAGGCTAGTTGGTTTCAGTTTCTCTATGGGTTTCCTCCTGGATGCTTAACTGCATATACCTTACCCAGCCTATGAAAAAGGAAGAGTTTCTCTTCCTGGAGCCAAGCCTAATGATGACTTGTGGAAGAGATATTACTGCCTTTGAATAGGGAGTCTCAAAACTACCCCCTAAATATGCATTATACCTTGAAGGCATCATCCAGCTAAGTTTTAATGCATGCTAACAGGGTCCTATTTTCATGAGACAGGACAACTCTTCCGCCCCAGGGAAGGGATGCAGGGGAGTGGTGAATCGGGGCTTAGGCCTCCCCTCAACCATACCAACTGCCCACCCAGTGCTTGGCTCACAGCCATCAGGACAGCCTGCTGCTGCTTTGCCTGGTCCATCACACCCGGACACCCACATGGTCCCCTCATCATTGCTGGGAAACCACTCTCCCTCTCTTACAATCCATGAGGGATAATGCCGTCAGTTTCCTATTCCTTTTGATTCTCCTTTCTGGGGAACAAGAGAGGGAGGGGGCTATTGCACTCACGCCCCGCTTGCAATCCTCCTAGAGGCATCTGGCCAATCACTGGGAAAGAAGAATGCAGGACTAGACAGGCCACTGGTCTCATCCAGCACTTTGCAAATGATGGGGCTTTCCAACAGTCTTCCTTCACAACTGATTCGTGAGGATAATTAGTGCTTTCTGGCAGGCATCTTACTACATAGGTGCATGGCAGTTTGCTGACAAAACATCTTTTAATTTGTTTTGCACAGGTATATCACCTTCCTACAAAGAACGCAAGTTGGATGCTCATCCTCTCCATTTTATCCTCACTACAGCAACCCTGTGAAGCACGTTAGGCTGAGAGTGGGTGACTGACCTGGAATCATCCAGTGAACTTCATGGCCAAGCGGGGCTGGGTTTCCAGAGACCAGTCCAGCACTCTAGCCACTGCACTGCAATGCCTATCCACGCTAGTTTCTATTCCAAATGTTGCAACAACAGGGTGGCCAGCCTGCTTGCGAGGTAGGCACTGACAGAGAGAACACCATTCGCGAAAGGCTTGTCCTTTTGGTACTCAGTGGAGAATAAGCGCGTCTCTTTCCTGCTCCGGCTTCTCCAGAGAGGTTTCAGCAGGAGCCGAGCTCCCCCTGCGTCCTGGGAGGCAAACGGCAAGAGCTTCTACCCGTATCCCGCTTCGTGTGAGAGCGCGGGTCACCGCTGGGCGCAGCCTTGCGGAGAGCGCAGCGGCGGCAGAGCGCGAGCGGATGCAGCCGAGCAGGGCGCCGCGTTGCGCACCCGGCCGCGCTTCGCGTCTCCTTCTCCAGGCGGAGCGCGTGCGCCCTCGAGCCCTCGCCGTCGCTCCAGGGGATGGCCTCCCGCTGAGCTCGGGTGTCTCCGGCGGGCTGCGGTGACATTGTGGGAAGGAGGGGGAAAGGAGGAGGAGACTCGGCCGGCAGGAGGCGGCGCTGACAGGAAAGGCGTGCGCCTGCTTTGCGCCCCTGGCTGGTGTGCAGCTGCATCGAGGCAGCCAATTTGTATCCACGCTGAGGCTCCGGCGCGCAGGGGTGGAGGTGGCCGCCCGGCTGGCTGGCAGGCAGGCGGAGTCTCTCGCCTTCTCTTTTCCGTTCTTCTCCCTCGTTTGGCCAGAGGTTGCTGGAAGCCGCAGACTATAAATAGCCGAGGCTACCCACGAAGTCTTTGCGTGTCACAGACCGGGAAGAAAAGGTTGCCGCTTCTTCGCCTTCACGGGGAGGCAACTAGGTAAAAACCCGAATCATTCCCCCCCCCCCCGACCTGTCAGAGTTCCCTGCTCATTTTTGCTCGACGAGTTTCTTGGAGATGGAGGAAAAGGCGCTTTGGGTGATCGGCAGCGGTTCATCTCAGGCGAAAGTCTCTCCGCCCCGCATGCTTCTGAATCCGCTTTCAAGTTTCTTCCTGTAGCAGTTTCGCTGGGAAAACAGGTCGTTGGAGGCAGGCGCAAGCAGCAGCAGCAGCAGTAGCCGGGGAGCGTTGGCGGGGACTTAGGCGGCAGGCAAAGTCTCTGCTATTTGGGCTGTTTGGTCTGAGGGCAGGAGGGAGGCAGGTGCCGTGGCGTTGGCTGCCAGAGGGTGGGCGATGCATTGGCTCCGATGTCGGATGCGGGTGCGGTTAAGCGAAAGACAGACCTTGGGAGCTTGAAGGCGACGGATGTTGCTTAGAACGTGGACGCCGAATTGCTCTTACCTACGGCTGTCCTTTGCAGGGCGACCGTGTGTGCAGTTGTTTCCCTCTTCTTTAAGAGGCGGGGGACGGAGAGGGAAAGAGAAAGAAAAGGGGGTGACCCTTCTTCCCCTTCACTTCTGGTCCAGAAGAGGTTCATCGCTGGGTACCAGTCGATGTATCTGCCAGCTCGGGAAGATGAGCCTAGAATTTCATCGAATGAGCCGCGGTTGCAGGCTGCTGCTGCTGCTGCTGCTGCTGCTGCTGCTGCTGCGTTAGAACATACTAGCGCAAAGCAGGGAGGCTTATTCTTACTTGCCTGCCTGCTGTAAATAACGCAGGCTCCTATTCCTTGTTGATCTTTGGGAAGGCTGTTTTGAACGCTGCGTTTCGGGCTTTTTGGGGATGGATCAGCAAACAAAGGAAACGGCTCTCAGGTGAACCCGCCGCCAACCCGCTGGCGAAGGGGCTGGAATGGAACTTCTTAGCACCGCAGGAACTAGAGACTAGATCACAGTGAGATTTTCTCCATTCCTTCTGGGAAACTGCTCGAATGGGGTTAGTTCTGGGAAGCAGAGTTGATCCCAACTCCATGTTACGGAGCTTTACCTGCAGGCACCTAATTGTACCTGAAAACGGCAAATACATTCCAAGAAGGTAAAAAAAAAGAAAAAAAAAGAGGGTGGTGTCCTAACAGTTGTATTGGCCAGAAAAGAAAGTTAGAGATGATGCTTAATGTATTACTGTATTAAGGAGGTGCTTAATCATTTCATTTCAATAAGCTAAAGGTAAAGAACATTCAGCCGGCCACTTAAAATGCAAAAGATCCTGACATTTATAGCGTTGAGTGGACTCAAAGTATATTGATATTAGACAATTGTGTGGGTATTTTGGTAGGGGAAAGCTAGCTCCATCCACAGCAGACACCTTTGTATCTTCTGCTTGGAAAGCAGTTGTACTTCTTCCTAAGACAGCTAAATCCAAGCACTGAGGCTTAATTGAATGTAGATTGCTACATGGCATGTTACGTTTTGCTCTGTTTAATCAAGTTGTTCATAGTGTTTAAATACTGTGCATTTTTGCTCTGCGACTGTTTATATTGAAATGTTGATTTATTCACCCTGGATATTTCTTACATGGTTTCATACGCACCTCTTCTCCAAAGTGAAAAACTGGAGATGCTTGGGAGATACCCATACATACTTGGATAAATGTTATTCCATCTTGGTGATGCTTGTTTAGAGGTAATCGAGATTTTACTAAAAACAATAATAAAGGGATCACATTTTTACTGAAGATTAATTGCAAGTAAAAAAGCAGCTCTTTGAAATATTGAGGAATCTCTATGTTTGATCAGTAACACTGCACTTAACTTCTTTACATGGGATGTTATATAACTGATTTCATATATATATATATATATATATATTCATTTGCAAACACAGAAAGATACACAAGTGTGCATATGACTGGAGCCAGTGTCATTTTGCATTGAAGTCAAGGAGAGTACCTTAAATTAAGCATGCATGAAAGGTCTTTATAGGATTGGGGGTTTTAAATGATTGATGAACTTTCGGATTTACTTCTGGAATGCAAGGAAGCACATGGGATTTTATGCATAGAATTCCTGCAATGCTGTTAGTCATAATTTGGAAACAAGAGTTCTACTTGTGCAGTAGTTCTGTAGGAAGATGCTGCAATGTTGAAGACAAAAAGGAAAGCAAGATTCCTTGGCTATATGGTTGTGGTGGACATGTCTGGGCAAAATTTTGATTATTAGCACATTCCTTTTGGTACAGTTTAAATTCGACACATGTAACCTAGTAGGTGCCAAGGTTCACAGTGCCAATGTATACCATGGCAGCTGGGCTAGTAACGGATGCACAACTGTGGTCATATCTCCGCAATACTGCAAGAGCTATACTAGTTGTTTTCTGGATTCAAAATAATGATCTTGGCTTTACAATTATTGTTTAAGATAGCCAGCTTAGATGCCTTGCAAGAGGAAGAAAAGTGGAGTATAAATATAATGTAATAATAATAATCAGCTTACTACATGGCTATGTGAGGGACCATCTGTTTTAGTATAGACTTGCTAAGTTATTAAGACAGAAGAACCACTTTTGAAAACATTAGAACCCATGTACTTCTCTTGAAGCTGAATCTCTTGGGAGATTCAGAAGAGAGGAAACACTTTTTCACACAGTGTAAACTGTAGAATTTACTCCCATAGGGTGTAATGGGTCTATATGGCCCAACATGAGAAGGGTCTTCTTTCAAACCAATATTTAAGAGTGGTGAGCTTCTATGAGCATTGTGTCAGTTAGGCTTAGGCTTAAGGGTGATTAGCTCATGCTAATCTCTGTTTCCTTTCCATCTGTGGGACTGTAAGGGATGGCTTTGAGCTCAGAGTTGGACTGTTGTTGGCTCCCTGGAATGAGAGCTCTTTATATTCTTAGTGTAGGATGCTTTCACAGGTATGCTCTACCAAGAGTGCTCTGACAGGCTCTGCACGTGTTTGTTGGTTGCATGTGTTGCCCAGGCCCGACTACAGTATTTTGTTTTGCTTCTGACAAAATCCAAGACAGTAAAATTAAAAATTAGCAGAGGACAGTGAATATCCCTTACAGTTTGACTTTTGTGAATTTGGATCACCTGTAGCATTTTTTTTTTTTTCAGAACAGAGAGATTTCCTGCAATGTGTGAAATGAAGGAGTCTCTCCCCACCCTCAGGTTGAAATATTCTTGCCCCATAATGAAATGCTTGTAGCTTTTGGTAAATTTTGGCTTGCTGAAACGTCTTCAATTTCTGCCAGTCATGACCTTTCCTTTCCTTTTTTAAATTCTGTTTGGCTTAAAAGTTTAACTTTTCTGTCACATAATTAATTGAAATCATTGCATCTCCTGCAGCAGAGCCCTTGGGACATTCAGTCTTGCTGTGTACTTTGGCAGCGACAGTGGCAGGAAGAATAATTCCAGCAGTGGAAAGTGCTTTATCCACTTTTATTACCATGTGAATATTCTGTTTCGTTCCTAGTACAGGGGCATCTGTTTCAAGTTCTAAGGTCTGCTTCCACTGAGGTATAAGATGCAATCTAAGGTAGCAATGACTGACCAACAAAATGAACTTGGTTGTGGTGGAAATGTCAATCCAGTACCAGATGACTTCATAAAAGCTGAATTCCATGGCATAATTAGGAAAGGAACTGAAAATAAAATGGCTAAGATCATAGCCACTCATACAAATCTATGGTGCAGTCACACTTGAAATACTGTGTACAATTCTGGTCACCAAACCATGTTGTGAAGTTGGAAAAAGTGCAGAAAAGAGCACTTGATCAAGGGCCTGGAGGATCCCCTATGAGGTACAACTGGTATTATTTGACTTAGAAAAAAGGTGAGCAAAGGGAGGCATGGTAGGGGCATACGGAATTATGTATGGCGTGGAGACAACAGATAGGGAGACATTTTTCTCCCTTTTTCATAATACTGCAGCCTGGGGTCATCCATGAAGCTGAATACTAGAAGATTGAGGATAGAAAAAAAGGACATACTTCTTCAAACTGTGGAATTCACTTCCATGAGATATAGTGCTGGCCACCAGTTTGGGTTTTCTGAAGGCAGATGCTTAGCCACTGTGTAAACAGAAAGATGGACTAGATGGACCTTATATCTGAGACACTATCCTATGCTCTTAGGTGCTTAAGGACATATTGAGGAAAGAGAAATCTAATACAAAATGCTGGAAATGAAGTGTGCTGATGGAGGACCCTAGTGCTACCAGTCAAAAACTATTATGCAGCTATTACGCAAAAACTCCCTGCATTCTCTGACCAGGGAGTCAGGGGATGGGAGTTCCACTGTGTCGGAGAAAGTGGAGCTACTCTGTTTCTTTCTCCTTGAAGGATTGGCTTCTTCTGGTAGGAAAAGCAAAAGATGAAAGTAGTGGGAGGAAAGCCTGGGAAGGTTACACACTGAAGGAAAAAAATGTGGGAGTTCCATAAAACCTTTCCTGGAAATCTAAAAGTTTGTTGACTTCCTGTCCTTGCCTTGAATTCAATGCAGCAGGATGCAAAGGCTGTTTGAAAGAGACGATAAAAGCAGACAATAGCTTCAAAAGAAATAATTTCTAAATGAGCAGAGAAGCAAACCTTGGAAAATGTATTTGTTCTTTTAAAGCCCCTGTTGATTTAAAATATGTTTAATTCACCCCTCATCCTCAGATACAATAAGCATAAAGAACATACCATTAAAATCCAGTAATAAAAATACAAATAAATCAAAAGAATAAAAATTACTTACAAATCAGGAACAGACTGGCATGATACTTAAATGCTTGGGCAGATAAATAACTTTTAACTTCGGTGCTGAAAGGATAGCATCTCCAGTCACTGGAAAGAGCATTCCCAAGACTTGGTGCCACTGCAGAAATGGCTCATGTTCACTTCCTACACAAGTTTCCCTTGGCAAAGAAACCCAGAGGAAAGCTTCTTCTGAAATCTTAAGGCATGGATTGCATACTGTCTTTAAACAGATTGCATTTTGAGTATAGGATACAACAC